TTTTGTAGCAATTGTGAATAGCAGTTCGTTCTTGATTTGGCTTTCTTTAAGTCTGTTATTGGTGTAGACGAATGCTTGTGATATTTGCACATTGATTTTATATCCTGAGACTTTGCTGAAGTTGTTTATGGGCTGAGGTGATGGGGTCTTCTAGGTATACTATCATGTCGTCTGCAAATAGAGACAATTTGGCTTCCTCCTTTCCTATTTGAATACCCTTTATTTCTTTTTCTTGCCTGATTGCTCTGGCTAGAACTTCCAGAACTATATTGAATAGGAGTGGTGAAAGAGGGCATCCTTGTCTAGTGCCAGATTTCAAAGGGAATGCTTCCAGTTTTTGCTCATTCAGTATGATATTGGCTGTTGGTTTGTCATAAATAGCTTTTATTACTTTGAGATACGTTCCATCGATACCGAGTTTATTGACGGTTTTTAGCATAAAGGGCTGTTGAATTTTGTCAAATGCCTTCTCTGCGTCAATTGAGATAATCATGTGTTTTTTGTTTTTGGTTCTGTTTATGTGGTGAATTACGTTGATAGACTTGCGTATGTTGAACCAGCCTTGCATCCCCGGGATGAATCCTACTTGATCATGGTGAATAAGTTTTTTGCTTGCCAATATTTTATTGAAGATTTTTGCATCTATGTTCATCATGGATATTGGCCTGAAGTTTTCTTTTCTTGTTGGGGTCTGCCGGGTTTTGGTATCAGGATGATGTTGGTCTCATAAAACCATTTGGGAAGTATTCCCTCTTTTTGGATTGTTTGAAATAGTTTTAAAGGAATGGTACCAGCTCCTCTTTGTGTGTCTGGTAGAATTTGGCTGTGAACCCGTCTGGACCTGGGCTTTTTTTGTGTGGTAGGCTCTTAATTGCTGCCTCGACTTCTGCCCTTGGTATTGGTCTATTCATAGTTTCAGCTTCCTCCTGCTTTAGGCTTGGGAGGATGCAGGAGTCCAGGAATTTATCCATTTATTCCAGGTTTACTAGTTTATGTGCATAGAGTGGTTTGTAATATTCTCTGATGATGGTTTGAATTTCTGTGGAATCTGTGGTGATTTCCCCTTTATCATTTTTTATTAATCAATCTGGCTAGTGGTCTGTCTATTTTGTTGATCTTTTCAAAAAACCAGCTCTTGGATTTATTGATTTTTTGAAGAATTTTTCGTGTCTCAATCTCCTTCAGTTCAGCTCTGATCTTAGTTATTTCTTGTCTTCTGCTGGGTTTTGAGTTTTTTTATCTTGCTCCTCTAGCTCTTTCAATTTTGAGGATAGGGTGTTAATTTTGGATCTCTCCATTCTCCTCATATGGGCTCTTATTGCTATATACTTTCCTCTAGAGACTGCTTTAAATGTGTCCCAGAGGTTCTGGCATGTTGTGTCTTCGTTCTCATTGGTTTCAAAGAACTTCTTTATTTCTGACTTCATTTTATTGTTTACCCAGTAAACATTCAAGAGCCAGTTGTTCAGTTTCCATGAAGCTGTGCGGTTCTGAGTCGGTTTCTGTATTCTGAGTTCTAACTTGATTGCACTATGGTCTGAGAGGCTTTTTGTTATGATTTCAGTTTGAGCAGTGCTTTACTTCCAATTATGTGGTCAATTTTAGAGTAGGTGTGATGTGGTGCTGAGAAGAATGTGTATTCTGTGGATTTGGGGTGGAGAGTTCTGTAAATGTCTATCAGGTTTGCTTGCTCCAGGTCTGAGTTCAAGCCCTGGATAGCCTTGTTGATTTTCTGTCTGGTTGATCTTTCTAATATTGACAGTGGAGTGTTAAAGTCTCCCACTATTATTGTGTGGGAGTCTAAGTCTCTTTGTAAGTCATTAAGAACTTGCCTTATGTATCTTGGTGCTCCTGCATTGGGTCTATATATGTTTAGGATCGTTAGCTCTTCTTGTTTTATCAATACTTTTACCATTATGTAATGGCCTTCTTTGTCTCTTTTGATCTTTGTTGCTTTAAAGTCTATTTTATCAGAGATGAGAATTGCAACTCCTGCTTTTTTTTTTGCTCTCCATTAGCTTGGTAAATCTTCCTCCATCCCTTTATTTTGAGCCTTTGTGTATGCAGGTGAGATGGGTTTCCTGGATACAGCACACTGATGGGTTTTGGATTTTTATCCAATTTGCCAGTCTGTGTCTTTTGATTGGTGCATTTAGTCCATTTACATGTAAGGTTAATATTGTTATGTGTGAATTTGATACTGCCATTTTGATGCTAAGTGGCTGTTTTGCCTGTTAGTTGTTGTAGATTCTTCATTATGTTGATGCTCTTTAGCATTCAGTGTGATTTTTGAATGGCTGGTACTGGTTGTTCCTTTCTATGTGTAGTGCCTCTTTTAGGAGCTCTTGTAAAGCAGGCCTGGTGGTGACAAAATCTCTGAGTACTTGCTTGTTCGCAAAGGATTTTATTTTTCCTTCACTTCTGAAGCTCAGTTTGGCTGGATATGAAATTCTGGGTTGAAAGTTCTTTTCTTTAAGAATGTTGAATATTGGCCCCCACTCTCTTCTGGCTTGTAGTGTTTCTGCCGAGAGATCTGCTGTGAGTCGGTAACTCGACCTTTCTCTCTGGCTGCCCTTAGTGTTTTCTCCTTTATTTCAACCTTGTTGAATCTGAAGATTATGTGCCTTGGCGTTGCTCTTCTTGCAGAATATCTTTGTGGTGTTCTCTGTATTTCCTGCATTTGAGTGTTGGCCTGTCTTGCTAGGAGGGGGAAGTTTTCCTGGATGATGTCCTGAAGAGTATTTTCCAGCTTGGATTCATTCTCTTCGTCCCCTTCTGGTACACCTATCAAACGTAGGTTAGGTCTGTTCTCATAGTCCCACATTTCTTGGAGACTTTGTTCATTCCTTCTTGCGTTGTTTTCTCTGATCTTGGTTTCTCGTTTAATTTCATTGAGTTGTCTTCGACTTCAGATATTCTTTCTTCTGCTTAGTCAATTCGGCTATTGAAACTTGTGCATGCTTCGCGAAGTTCTCGTATTGTGTTTTTCAGCTCCTTTAATTCATTCATATTCCTCTCTAAGGTATCCATTCTTGTTATCGCATGTCTTTTTTTAAGTTTCTTAGTTTCTTTGCATTGATTTAATATGTGTTCTTTTTGCTCACAAAATTTCTCATTATCCACCTTCTGAAGTCTAATTCCGTCATTTCGTCACAGTCATTCTCCATCCAGCTTTGTTCCCTTACTGGTGAGGAGTTTCGGTCCTTTCTAGGAGGCAAGGTGTTCTGGTTTTGGGTGTTTTCCTCCTTTTCTCGCTGGTTTCTTCCCATCTTTGTGGGTTTATCCGCTTGTCGTCTGCGTAGTTGCTGACTTTTCGATTGGGTCTCTGAGTGGACACCCAGATTGTTGATGATGAAGTATTTCTGTTACTTGGTTTTCCTTCTACCAGCCTAGCCCCTTCGCTGTACGACTGCTGAGGTCCACTCCAGGCCCTGCTTGTCTGGGGTACACCTCTAGCAGCTGTGGCACAGTGAGGGATGCTACCCGTTTCTTTTTCTGCTATCTTTGTCCCAGGATGATGCCTGCCTAATGGATATAGAGGGGTCAGGGAGCTGCTTGTGGAGACAGTCTGTTCTTTTTAGGAGCTCTATTTCTGAGCTGTGAGCTCTGTTGTTCATTCAGGGCTGTTAGGCTGCTATGTTTGATTCTGTTGCAACAAAGCTCATTTAAAAAACCCTTTTTTCTCAAATGCTCTGTGTTGGGGGGTTTGGCTTTATTTTTCGACGTCCGTTGAGGTGTCCTGCCCAGCTAGGAGGCAGACTAGCCACTGTTTGCCTGCCTAGTCTCCGCCCTGCTGTTGTGTGATTCGCCCTGTTCCTGCAGGCTCTGCTGTGGTCTCCACCACGCCCTGCGGTGGAGTCTCTTTGTTGTAGAGTGTTGCCTTGGCAGCGGCAGGCTGCGTCAGCAGTCGGTGTGTATCTCAGTGGGGACGGGTTGCCTCGGTAATGGGAGGCTGCGTCTGCAGTGGGCGTGTATCTCAGTAGGGACGGGTTGCCTTGGCAACGGCTGGCTGCGTCAGCAGTGGTATCTCAGTTGGGGCGGGTTGCCTCGGTAGTGGTGGACGCCCCTCCCTCACAGAGAGTCTCGGACCGTCTGCTCGGGATAGTTTGAAATCGCGGTTTTGTTCATCCTACTGGGTACCCCAAACGCTCTGTCCCTGCAATCCCCTGGGCTGGCCTACTGTCCAAGTCTCATTCAGTCTCAAGTCCAGCCCTCTCAAGTCTCAGGTTTCCGGTTCAACAGGGCACCCGGACAAGCGCGCCCTGTGGGGATTGCTGGGTAGGGCCGGCCACCACCACCCTGGCTGCCGGCTTCTCCAGGCAGACTTACTGCCTGGCGTCCCGTGACTTTTTTATACTTGGGAGTTTCTCCGTTCTGTGGGCAACAAAGATCAGTCTGGAAATGCAACTCCGACTCACCTGTTTGTGGATTCAACAAGAGCTCCAGTCCTGGGTTGTTCTCACAGCGCCATCTTGAGGCCTCTCCTAGTGAACTTTTTTCATTTTCTGTTTAGTTTTCTTTTGCTTCTTATGGCAATACTGGTAATTCATATTTTTCTAAGAGATTAACTATGTCACTGATATTTAAAATTTACTGATATAAAATCATATATAATAATTTTTAAATAATTTTTCTTTGTGTGTATAGTTGTTTACATTCTGAGTGTTACATTTTTGTTTTCATTTTTATGATTAGACTTGTGAAAGATTTAACTTTTCATTAATTTTTCCAGAGAATTGAATTTATCAGTGCTGTTGGGTTTTTTTTTATTGTGGTAGAGTGTTTTCTGATTCATTATTTTTAGCTTTAATATTCATTCCTTCTTCATTTTTAAAATTTACTCTTCTGCTATAATTTTTAAGTATGGTCCAGGGACCTCTAGTGGTGCCCCAAGACATTTTCAAAAGATCCATGAGGTCAAAGCTATTTTCACAATACTAAGGCTTTACTCACCTTTTTTCACCCTTATTCTCTCACAAGTGTACTGTGTAGTTTTCCAGATGACATGTGACACCGAAGCCAACTAAATATCAAAGAAGATATGAGTATCCACCTGCAAAATTGGATAGAATCCAATTTCATCTATTAAGGTAGGTACTAACAAAGTTTGCAAAAATGTAAAACAATACCACACTTCTCACTACATTATTTTTTAATTTTGGAAAATACTGTCATTTTTACATTTTTACCAAAAAAAATGTTACTTGTAATTATACGTATTAGTTTATTATTGCTATTTTTAATGAACTGATAATTTTAAAAAGTTCTTAGTTTGCTTTATAGTGCAGTAAAATGCTCTTCAGGCTGGGAGCAGTGGCTCACACCTGTAATCTCAACACTTTGAAAGACTGAGGCAGGCAGATCACTTGAGGTCAGGAGTTGGAGACCAACCTGGCCACCATGGTAAAACCCCATCTCTACTAAAAAATACAAAAATTAGCCTAGCATAGTGGTGCACGTCTGTAGTCTCAGCTACTTGGGAGAGGAAGTGGAGGTTGCAGTGAGTCAAGATCACACCACTGCACTTCCACCTGAGAAACAGATTGATACTCCAACTCAACAAAAGAAAAAAGCTATTGAAGATCTTTAATAATTTTAAAGAATGTATAGGGATTCTGAGACTGAAACGTTTTGAGAATCACTGTTCTATTGCATATTGAATATCCAGTTTATTTATTTTCATTATTTCTTTTTTGATAATGAACATGCTTATTTTTATAAATTTACACAAATTCTTTTTTGTCTATAGACAGCCTCTAATTCTTTTTTGGATTTGAGAGATAAAATATGTATTCTCTGAAGTTTGTAAGTTAAAAACCTAAACTGGGAAAAATGTTAACCAGAAAGACATCTGATTACACCTAACTCTCTGCACCTTATTATAACAGAAACAGAGGCTCTTAGAACTCTAGTTTTACAAACTATGTAGCTCTTGAATTTACTTCAGACAATAAAGGAGCTGTACGTGCCTTCGTTTGTACTCCATTGATCAAGACAATTCAAAGCTCATCTGAGATTCATCTGACATTAAAATAAAATCACTAAACTATATCAGATCGAATGTTAGGATCTGTGATTCTGGGCTAGTAATTTATTGGGAGAATCTGAAAGAAAAGTTACAGAGAAAAATTGTGTGTGTTTTTTGTGTTATGGGCATAATTATATAATACCACTTAAATCCTTATTAAAAAGAAATTACAAGTGTGATTTTCTTGTCAAAAGCGTTGACTAGGTAAAACATTATGTTAAGAAAGATAGAAATGAAGGGAGCCTTAGCAAAATAAATATTGGTAATAATGCAAATTCAAGTCTTAATAGTTGAGACTGTGGGCTGTGAGAAAGAAAAATGTGGAGACAGTTGCAGATGGATCGTCTCTTAATCCAAGGAAGACTACATCGGGATTACAAATTAATTATTTAAATTGATAAATACGTTTAAAGAAGTTTTTCAACTTGTCAGTGAGTGTTTCTCAGTAGATCATATGGCATATGAGAAAATAGTAAGTGCTATCTAGAAAAATAAAGTGGAATGGAGGATAAGTAAAGGGGTCAGTTTTTAATAGGATAGTTAGGGATAATATCACTGAGAAGGTGACCTTTGAGCAAAACTTGGAGGGGAGTGAGAAAGTCACTTGCATATCTAAGGGGAAGACAACAAGTGTAAAGGTCCTGATACAGGCTCATGTCTGGTATATTTTGGGGAGATGGAATTTATACATATGAAACTGAGGTGGAGGCAATACAAAAAAGTGTAATAAAACAAATATATACAGATATAGATTTTGAGACAGGCTCTCAATCGCTCAGGTTGAAATGCAGTGGTGTGATCATGGCTCGTTGCAGCCTGGCTGAAGTGAAATGAGCACAGTTCACTTCAGCCTTGCTGCAGTGAGCTCAGATGCCTGGACTCAGGTGATCACCCCACTTCAGCCTCTAGAGTAGCTGGACACACCCAGCTACTTTTCTCTTTTTGGAGAAACAGGGGGTTTCATCATGTTGCCCAGACTGATCTTGAACTTCTGAGCTCAAGCAAGCCACCGGTCTCAGCCTCCCAAAGTGCTGAAATTATAGGCGTAAGCCATCGTGCTTGGCTTAATTCTATAAATTAAATATATAAGTGCTTAGTAATGGGAATAACATTCATGACATTGAGGTCTGTTTTTTCACAAAATATCTTATGGGAGGTGAGTTTAGATCCAGGTTTTCCAGGAAATTATTAAATGATTTGGTAAGATGGAAGGCATTCTAGATGGAACAATGTGTTAGTTAATATAGGTTTACCTATGTTCCAGGCACATGGTAAGCCTTATACATATTTCAGCTGTTAATATTAGGGATCAAATGTAGTTTATGTGAGAAATGTATATAGACTTAGCTGGCAGGGTTTAGCTGGCAAGAAGGATTCGCTTTAGGTATAATTTGGCTACTATTTTTAACTATTAAAGATCTTTGAAGTTATCATTACAAGTAAAACAGAATTTCTTTTCTCTTTTTTACATTCTAGATACCAAAATAATTTCCCTTTCTCACCTTGAAATGACCTGAGCTAACAGAAGAAATTTTCCTGCATTGCTTATGAGGATCATACATAAATCAAAATGGTGAGACTATGGGAAACCTGATAAAAAGATGACTGAACCATATCAAGTACAAGTAATGATAAGATATCCTATGTGAATTTAAGGTTATAAATTATAACTTACACACTTAATAGTATGATAACCTGTTCGTTTAAATAGCGTAAGTCACTTCAATGTAATTTTAAAATGTACATAAATATATGTTGTATTTTTCTGCATAATTTATTGTACATACAAAATTATTTCTGTATTGGTGCCCTTTATTTTCCTGATCTAGGTGGTCTTCTTCCCACCTTTTTATTTTCCTAAAACTTTTTCTTCTCAGCTATGCTTTATGCACCACCGTATAAACACCCATTTAAAAGAGAAAGTAAAATAATCTGCCTTGGTCTTATGACTCTTTTATTCCCAATCTCTTTCTCTTCAGATAAGCTTCTTGAAGAAGTAGTCTACACTAGGTGTTTTTACTTTCTTACCTCCCATTTCTCAACACAATTACTTTGGCTTTTTTCCTTAGCTTATCATTCACTAGTAACTCTAACTGTGAAATCTGTGTGATACTTTTCTATTGTTTTGACTCCACACTGCATAATGCTCGTGAGCTCTACTTCCTTGATATGTTTGTGTTCTGTTTTTTCTTTCTTAATATTATACTGTATTTTCCCATGATATCAAGAACTATTTTACATATTTCATTAAACTTTCATTACAAAAGTATACATGCTTCTTATAGGGAATTTGGAAAATGTAGAAAGCTATTTGAAGATCTTACTACTCAGAGAGAGCCACTGTTAACATGGTGTGTTTTATTCCCTTTCTTGTGTGTGTGTACATCACTTATATACACAAAGCATAAACTAGATTTACATATACATATCTATTATATTTATATCATAAATATAACATATATGTACATAGGTACAGGTATCATATATTTTATGTAACTATATATGTTATATATTACAGTAATTTTTCTTTTTTTATTTTATTATTTATTTTTTTAAATTACATTTTAGGTTTTGGGATACATGTGAAGAACATGCAAGATAGTTGCATAGGTACACACGTGGCAGTGTGGTTTTCTGCCTTCCTCCCCTTTACCTATATCTGGCATTTCTCCCCATGCTATCTCTCCCCAACTCCCTATCCCCCACTGTTTCTCCCCTATTCCAGCCAACAGGCCCCAGTGTGTAGTGCTCCCCTCCCTGTGTCCATGTGTTCTCATTGTTCAACACCCACCCATGAGTGAGAACATGCAGTATTTCATTTTCTGTTATTGTGTCAGTTTGCTGAGAATGATGTTCTCTTAAAAAATGGGAACTATATTCTGAATATTACATTTTCTTAAATATTTGCTCTTATCACTAAAAATTCATCATTCATAACTTTACAGTTATAAAGTTTTAGCACATGATATCATAAATTATTCAGTCATTCCTTGATATTTGTTTGCCTTCTCACTGTTGCAATACTTTCTTCCCTAATTTTTAAACTCCACTTACTTGTTGCCTTCCTGTCTCTTTGTGTCTTCATCATTTTGTCCCTGCTTGCCTCTCCAGTTTCATCTCTTCCTGAGCTTTCTATGCCCCATAATAACCAAAGTGCCCTACCTGGAATTTTCTAATGGTAATCAATTGTTTTCTACTTTTCATACCTCTACTTATGTTACTTCTTCTGCCTAGAATGCTCTTCCTTTCAATTATCATCAGATTGGCAAAGCCATCTTTAAGATTCAGTTCAGTGCCTACCTCTGATTTAAATCTTTCCATGTATACCCATATGCCTAGTCACTAAGGAGAATCAACTACATGCTACTCAGGACCCCATTACATGTATAACCCAGTTATACATATCTGTTAATAGATTTGCTAACCTTACTCTACTGTGAGCTCTCTGACTGTAGGGAAGAAGTATTTTATAGTGCTTAAGAGTGCACTTCCTCTAGTCATATGAACTGAATTCAGGTTTTGGCTCTGTTTACCATTTCTTAGCTTTATGATATAGGGAAATTTATCCTTTTAAAGCCTCAGTTTACTCATCTATAAAATATGGATACTAATTGTACTTACCTTACAGGGTTGATGTGAGGATTGAAGTAGTTAATATAAGTAAAGAATTTACCTATGTTCCAGGCACATAAGTCCTATATATATTTTAGTCATTATTATTAGGAATGACGTTTGATTCATCTCTTCATTCCAGTGCCTAACATAATGTCTGGAGTAGAGAACCAGTAAATGTTTAATGAATAAAGGAATGAATTGCCCAAAATGTATATTCATCATTAAGAGAAAGGGTCTGAGAAAATAACATCATTATTTAAGAATTAAGAATTAGAAACCACATTAATGATTGCCTTTTAGGCAGAGCTGAAGTTGTCACTGTATTTTAATACTGGGAAAAACTCCATCAGATACTTTCTACCTCAACAGATTTCTGTATTTTAACTATACTCAGAGTCAGCAATAATGCACATTTGTTCTAACATTCCCCTTTCTGATAGCATTATTTCTCAAATAGTGTCTCAGAAATTATTTCCATGTCTTATGTACCAGCCTTGTGTATTGCTATAAATAAATTAATGTAACCAGGGTATTGATGGCATTGTGCCCACTCAATTATATGTTTATCTAAAGTTCTCAAATATGAATATCAAAGCCATTTAACAGTTCAGATAACCAAGAATGATGTCAAAATTTTAAGGTAAAACTTGTAACATGAAATTTGTCTCATTGATTTGACAAATGTGTTGTGGGATCACTCTTTAAGGCACCATGCTAAATATTATGGAAGAATAGAGCTTCCTTCACACAGTAATTTAGTAGCACATTTAGTACTCCCATGGATCTGGTGGCTGTCTCTTCTTTAGATTACCAATATTAGCAGATTTGACAACTGAATCATTATTAATAATTAAAAATTAAATGTTATTTTCCATCACTCTAAATGATCACAGATAATATGTTATATACCATCTGTATACATAAAAGTGACAGATATGTATATGCTTTTACTCTTTTTTTCTAGACCTGTTTGGAGGTTGCTGACAGTTCAGGCATGGTGTCGGTGATTATGTGGAATGCCCCATGTCCTGAGTGGTTTAAAATTTTGCGAGTTGGTTTAGTTTTTCTGCTTCAGGATTATTCTGTTAAAAAGAATTATCCATTTAGAATACAGCCTGTCCCCATGGATCCACAGATCAAACTAATTTCTACAATGAGTTAAGTATTCAATAAATTTGTTGTCTTATGGCTATTTTATTTATATAAATTTGCAATATACCATATTAGAAAGACCATAAAAATTACTGAAACTGTTAGAACCTAACGAAGCTTTAAATTTATTTGTTCATAGAATTTTCAAGCAATCACATAACCTAATAAATATACCTGTTTATTATTTCATTATTAAAAAAATTATCTGAGATATTTATTGTTGATTGAAGAATGAGCTCCACTTGGGTTGTACTTATTTTGTTTTCTTTTACTTTTGGTCACCTAATACTAACTTAACAATGAATATATTTTGCATTTACTACTAGTTTCTATCTCAAAAGGACTTCCGTTAACTTTTGTATTGAAATAATTTCAAACTTACATAAACGTTAAAAGAATGGTAGAGAGATCTCTCATATACCCGTTATCCATATTCAACAATTACTAACATTTACTTTTGCTTTATCATTGTATCTCTCTCTTCACATATATACATATCTATACACACACACGCACACACACACACACCCATACACACACCATACATACACACGTATGTATATATACAGTAAGAGAAAGTAGCAGCCATCATACATACCCCTTTAAGCCTAAACACTTCACTAGTATTTCAGTGTATATTTTCTAATAAGAAGAGTATTCTATTACATAATCTGAGTACAATTACCAAAATCAGGAAATTTAAAATTGATACAATACTAATATCTAACCTATAATCAGTATTCAAATTTTGCCAATTTCTGCAATCTTAAAAGGGCTTTTCTTAATTAGTACTGATATCTTGACATCTTAAATATTTTGAACCATTAAAATTAAAGTATTAAATAATTGTTTTTAGATATGAACATGATTTTATTCATTTTCATTTTTAAGAATTATAGATTACATTGCTTCAGTTTAAATACTGTTTTTGGTTTATAATAGCTTTATTCTGAACCTGAATTTCTGTGTATTCTAAATTTCTCAGCTAATGCACTCAGCTTAATTACTTAGAGAATATTCAGATAAAGGTATCAATTGTTGATTGTTTGCAAAAATCTTATATGATTATTTATTAAATCTTAAGCATTTTGTAGACATTGGTCAGATCTCCCTAAATGAAGAAGTTATTACCTAGATAGTCTGGTACACATAGTCTATTATCTCATTAGTTTTTGCTATAGAAATGTGAGGAACTGAACTGATAGAGATATTGTGATTTATTAAGAAAACACAATAAAAGATGGTGAGAGGATGCTAATTTACAACATGCCACCTCTGCTATATAGAATTGTAGGACCAGATTTTCATCATGAAAACTCTCTAAGGTATGAGAAACAATTTATTCTTTCAAGTAAGTAACTGAAGATACAGAAATTATTTTTTAAATGATAGCCTTGGTGAGAATATATTTACAATGTACATTTTGCTATTTAAAAACAGTTTTACTTCTTATTAATGTTATCAGCAGTCTCTATTTTCTTCCTCATATTTTTGATATGTAACAGGACTTTGCCTTATTTTTCAGAAAACAATAGACTATGCTAAGTAGTAAATATTTTGACTTTCCAGGCTATATGGTCTCTGTTTCAACTTCTCAGCTCTGTCTTTGTAGACTGAAGGCAGCCATATGTATGTAAAGGAATGGCTATGGCAATATTCCAATAAACATTTATTTACAAAAAGATGTAGTCATCTACAGCCTGTAGTTTGCCTAGACTGCATGTATCAGTAGATTGCAACTCTGGCTGTATATTGGAATCATTTGGGGAGTTTTAAAGAGCCACTGATGCCCCATACTCAAAGATTCTGATGTAATTACTCTGAGAATGGGACCAAGGCATTGCTATGGGTTTTAAATTTTCCAGCTGATCCCAAAGGTATAGCCAAGGTTGGGAGCTATGCCTTTATGATTTTTAAAAATTACCTATATAAAATTAATGAGTTTTTTATCCTAGCATTTTCTTCATTTTTAATTGGCAAATAATAATTAAACATATTTATAGGGTCTAGTGTAACATTTTGATCTATGTAAGAAAAACTCAATCAAATATCCATCACCTTACTAACTTACCACTTTTCTGTGGTGAGAACATTAAAAATCTACTAGTCATTTTGAAATATATAATACATTATTATTAACTGTACTCACCATCCAAGGTGATAGATTCCTAAGACTTATTCCTTTAATTTGACTAAAATTGTACCCTTTGATCAAGATCTAGCTTTTTCCTATCACTGTCCACTTGAGACACCCTCCCCACCCCACCTCTGGTAACCTCCTTTTTACTCTCTGTTTCTATGAGATTGACTTTTTTAGATTCTTGAAGAATGTTATGCCAATTGAAATAAGCCAGGCACAGAAAGACAAATACTGTAAGATCTAACTCATAAGTGGAATCTAAAAAGCTGATCCTATAGAAACAGAGTAGAAAGGTGACTGTCTTATTTATTTATTTATTTATTTATTTATTGAGACAGAGTCTTGCTGTATCACCCAAACTTAAAGTGCAGTGGTACAATCTCGGCAACCTCCAGCTCCTGGGTTCCAGCGATTCTCCTGCCTCAGCCTCTCAGGTAACTGGAATTACAGGCACACACAACCACGCCCAGCTAAGTTTTATATTTTTGGGGGAGACAGGGTTTCACCATTTTGGCCAGGCTGGGCTTGATCTCCTCACCTCAAGTACTCTACCTGCTTTGGCCTCTCAAAATGCTAGAATTACAGGCATGAGCCACCACGCGAGGCCAGAACATGATTAAGTATCTTTTAATGAAAAAAATGGACAGTTCTATAAATCACGTTAGACACAAAAGATGCAAAAAGTCAGTAATATACAGTTCTACTTTTAAAAGTTAGTCTAATGAGATCACACCTATGTAAGATAAACAAATTATAGTAAAATAAAAGACTAATGACAGTAAACCATATTAAAAATGTAATAATGTAACAAAGTAATAATGTAAAAAAAGGAAAAAGAAATGAATAAAAATGTAATTGAAGAAAGAATGAACAATGTGCTGCATGGGAGAAAGTGTTAAGCAACGATTAGGAAAAATACCAGTGTAACCGGGCACGGTGGCTCATGCCTGTAATCCCAGCACTTTAGGAGGCCGAGGTGGGTGGACCACAAGGTCAATAGATCAAGTCAATCCTTGTCAACATGGTGCCACCCCGTCTCTACTTAAAATACAAAATATTAGCTGGGCATGGTGGTGCGTGCCTGTAATCCCAGCTACTCAGGAGGCTGAGGTAGAAGAATTGCCTGAACCCAAGAGGTGGAGGTTGTGGTGAGCCGAGATCATGCCATTGCACTCCAGCCTGGGCAACAAGAGCGAAACTCTATCTCAAAAGAAGGGGGGAGAGGTAACCAGTGTGAGAAGGAAGGTATTGGGAAGTAAGCACTTTTCAGACAGAGGCCACAGCCCATTAAAGTCCCTGGAGCAGGACTGCTTCTGGTGGATTGCAGGAAAAGCAAGGAGAGAGGGAGGAGGTGAGGAGAACAGGTTGGGCAGGGCCTGGGAGCCTTGAGATGGTGGGGGATGTTAAGCAATATATCTTTTAATATAAGTGTTATTGGAAATCAAGAAGCAGGAAATAAACAGTCCAATTTGAGTTTTTGGGTTTTTGAGATGGGGTCTCACTCTGCAACCCAGGTGGGAGTGCAGTGGCATGATCTCAGCTCACTGCAACCTCTGCCTCCCAGACTCAAGTGACTCTTGTGGCTCAGCCTACTGAGTAGCTGGTATTCCAGGCACCAGCCACAATGCCTGGCTAATTTTTGTAATTATAGTAGAGACAGGATTTCACCATAATGGCCAGGCTGGCCTGGAACTACAGACCTCTAGTGGATCAACCTGCCTCATCCTCTAATTCACATTTTAATAAAAAGATATTGGTTGGGGTTTGTGGCTCACACCTGTAATTCCAGCACTTTGGGAGGCCGAGGCAAGTGGATCACCTGCCAGATTGCACCAAACTGGAGAAATCCTGTTTCTACTAAATACACAAAATTAGCTGGGTATGGTGGCCCATGCCTGAAATCCCAGCAATTTGGAAGGCTTAGGCAGCAAGATCGCTTGAACCTAGGAGGCAGAGGCTGCAGTGAGCCAAGATCCTGCCACTGAACTTGAACCTGGGCAATGAGAGTAAAACTCTGTCTGAAAACAAAGAAATATAACAAAAACAAACAAACAAACAAAAACCTGGGCATGGTGACAGGCACCTGTGGTCCCAGTTACTAAGACTGAGGCAGCCGAATCACTTGAACCTGGAAGGTGAAGGTTTCAGTTGGGTGAAATCACCCACTGCTCTCCTGCCTGGGAGACAGCAATATTTTGTCTCTAACAAAATGAAAAGCAAAACAAAAGCAAACACTTCTGGGCTCATGTGATCCTCCTACCTTAGCCTGTGAAATTGCTGGGATTATAAACATGGGCCACCATGCCCAGCCTGGGCCACTTAATGGAAAGAAGTAACTAGTGTGAGAAGGAAGGTATTTGGGGGTAAGCACTTTCCGGACAGAGGACACAGCCCATGCAAAGGCCCTGGGGCAGGAGCGTGTGGCATATTGGAGGAACAGCAAGGAGGTTCGTGTGGCTTGAGCAGAGTGAGGAGTGAACAAAAGGGAGCAGGGAAGAAGGATGGGTTGAGCAGGGCCTGTGGGCCTTGGGGAAGTGGGGGAAGTTTAGAAGTTTACCTTTTTTTTTTTTTAAATTTTTTATTGGATATTAGGTTTTGGGGTACATGAGCAGAGCATGCAAGACAGTTGCGTAGGTACACACATGGCAGTGTGCTTTGCTTTTCTTCTCCCCTTCACCCACATTTGGCATTTCTCCCCAGGCTATCCCTCCCCACCTCCCCCTCCCACTGGCCCTCCCCTTTTCCCCCCAATAGACCCCAGTGTTTAGTACTCCCCTTTCTGTGTCCGTGTGTTAGTGAGAATATGCGGTGTTTCATTTTCTGTTCTTGTGTCAGTTTGCTGAGGATGATGTTCTCCAGATTCATCCATGTCCCTACAAACGACACAAACTCATCATTTCTGATTGCTGCATAATATTCCATGGTGTATATGTGCCACATTTTTCCAATCCAGTCTATTATCAATGGGCATTTGGGTTGATTGAAGGTCTTTGCTATTGTAAACAGTGCTGCAATGAACATTCATGTAAATGTGTCCTTATAGTAGAACGATTTATAGTCTTTTGGATATATACCCAGTAATGGGATTGCTGGGTCAAATGGAATTTCTATTTCTAAGGCCTTGAGGAATCGCCACACTGTGTTCCACAATGGTTGAACTAATTTACACTCCCACCAACAGTGTAGAAGTGTTCCTTTTTCTCCACATCCTCTCCAGCATCTGTTGTCTCCAGATTTTTTAATGATCGCCATTCTAACTGGCGTGAGATGGTATCTCAATGTGGTTTTGATTCATCTCTCTGATGACCAGTGACGATGAGCATTTTTTCATATGATTGTTGGCCTCATATATGTCTTCTTTTGTAAAGTGTCTGTTCATATCCTTTTCCCACTTTTGAATGGGCTTGTTTGTTTTTTTCCTGTAAATCTGTTTGAGTTCTTTGTAAATTCTGGATATCAGCCCTTTGTCAGATGGGTAGACTGCGAAAATTTTTTCCCATTCTGTTGGTTGCCTATCCACTCTAGTGACTGTTTCTTTTGCCGTGCAGAAGCTGTGGAGTTTCCTTAGGTCCCATTTGTCTATTTTGGCTTTTGTTGCCAATGCTTTTGGTGTTTTGTTCATAAAGTCCTTGCCTACTCCTATGTCCTGGACAGTTTTGCCTAGATTTCCTTCTAGGGTTTTTATGGTGCCAGGTCTTATGTTTAAGTCTTTAATCCATCTGGAGTTAATTTTAGTGTAAGGTGTCAGGAAGGGGTCCAGTTTCTGCTTTCTGCACATGCCCAACACCATTTGTTAAACATGGAATCCTTGCCCCATTGCTTGTTTTTGTCAGGTTTATCAAAGATTGTATAGTTGTATGTATGTTGTGTTGCCTCCGGTGCCTCTGTTTTGTTCCATTGGTCTATATCTCTGTTTTGGTACCAGTACCATGCTGTTTTGATTACTGTAGACTTATAGTATCGTTTGAAATCCGGTAGTGTGATGCCCCCCACTGTGTTCTTTTTGCTTAGAATTGACTTGGCTATGCGGGCTCTCTTTTGGTTCCATATGAAGTTCATGGTGGTTTTTTCCAGTTCTGTGAAGAAAGTCAGTGGTAGCTTGATGGGGATAGCGTTGATTCTGTAAATTACTTTGGGCAGTATAGCCATTTTCACGATATTAATTCTTCCTAACCATGAACATGG